GAACCGTCACTGGATCAGGTCATGACTGAACCTTCATAGTTTTATTACCTCTTTAATAGATCAGATTTATTAATTGAATTATTATATGAAATATGAATAGTTAATACAAAACATAATAAAACATAAAATATAATCCTCTGTTGTGGTTTCTATTTTATAATTTAACTTGTTGAGCGTAGCTCTTTGGGATCAACTTCAATGCAACAAATAGAGAAACATCACTCAATAACGGCTGAACGCATTTCAGCCAAACTTAACAAAATTACTTAGACTAATAGTGAGATGGTTTTTAAACAAACAAATTTCAATTAGATAATGCTAATGCAATTTAAAACGAACTTAAAATTTCCAAATTTTAACATTAGGCTTATGGGGCAAAAGTAGCCATATGACAGTTTTTTGTTTACAAAAAAATGTAAACAAGAGTACCATTACGGTATTTCTGAACTTTCTAGACTTTTCTTTTAAACGTTTTTAAGCCATTCCTATGATTTTAATAAACAAGAAAATGCCGTTAAAACATTTTTTTAAGGTGCCAAATTCACTGAAAATCGAGAAAATATACGGAACTACTTTCTCAATGCGCGGAGCATAAACAAGGAGCGGAGGGATACGGACCAGTGACTACTTTCTTTGGAACCTATTTGTGTTGCCAGCTGATTAAAAACAGCCAATGTTAGAAATCAGGATTTAATAAGCGATATATCGAACCGCATCGAAATCGATATTTAATCCGATAATACATCACAGGATTCACAGGTTATATTATGTTGAATTACATCGACGGTGCAGTAAGTTATTACACTTATTAATGAAACGCAGATTGAACACTGATCTAATCTAGGCATGTGGGGAAGGTAGCAAAGAAAGCTGAGTTTAACCGATTGCAGGGGTTGAAATTAAGACCAATGTTTATGTTGCACAGTTGAATTTAAATGTCAAATTTCCCCTCCTGTTGTAATACTTTAATACTCGTTTTTTTAATAGTTACTGTTTTTTTTTATACTTTAATATAGCCTACTTTAATCGATTGTAAGGGTGAAAAATGAAGTCCAATGTTTTTGTTGTAGGCTACAGTTGAATTTGAATGTTAAATTTCCTTTCTCTTTTTTATACTACAATGCCCTTTTTGGATGTTAATACCAGATTCCAACTACTGTAATATTTTCCTGGTCAAAACTACCATAATGCACTTTTGGAAGAGGTATCTGAATAACTAGATGTAGTAAAAACAAATCTGAATTATTATAATTTTAATCAATAAAACCAGCATTAGTACATCTATTGACTTTTTTACATTTAGTTACTTATACAAATATCAAATCAAGTTTGTTCCGCTCAACTGGCTTTCACCTCTCTGAAAGCAACCCTAGTACTTTTTAAACCTAGTGTTAATTTTTATTACTACAATTTAGGATTTCGGGGTGGGGGGGGGGGGTTTGAGCAAAATTTTACAGCCCTCAATACTGATAAAATGATGGTTCAACAGTTTTTAACATTTTTGTGATTTTACCCATAAAGTAAACCCAGTAAGGTCAGTAAGTACCATAATTACTCCACCGCTTAACCATTAAAAGGGTTTTGGTTTTTAATTTTCAACAAGCTAATGGAAGAAAGGGGTCCGCGGGATTGGCTAACTCTGGAACTCGCTAACCCCATGTTAAATGCCCTATCTTCAAATTTGGTCGATGAGAGGAACTCGCTAACTTTTTCGGTTTCGGAATTGGCTAACTCCGGAACCCGCTAACCCGCTCTAGATCCAGGTTAGCGAATTCCGTCCCCGTACGGAAGTCGCTAACTCGGTCCCTCGGCGGAACTCGCTATTTCCCAATCAGAAGCCTCGCATGCCGTCCAATGGGAGCCAAGCACTAAGATTTTTGGCCAGTGTTGCCGAAAGTGTAGTACCATAATGTCGAACCCTACGAATAATTAGAAGTAAGAGCAACGTATTCGATAAAATAAATATTGTATACAAGTCTAGTATACAAAATACGACCTTAATAATTTTATTTGCAGAAGTTCACAAAATGGTATTTATTCGAATAAAAGAAACAAATGGCGGACTACGAAAATAGATATTTCATAACATGTAAAAGATCCAAATTAAATGTACAGTACTATCTTTTTGCATCCCAATAAACTACTATTTAAGTAAGAAACCTATATATAAAACATACTCCCTTATATTAGTACATTTCTCATCCTTATGGATCAGCTGAAGACAGTTTTATCGTTAGTTCTGTCCGGTACACTGTCTTTAGAGGTCGTGTTTTGTTTACAACTGTTTCTTGTTTTCGGTTATTTAAAACCTCGTTAAACCAAATAAAATGTTCTAATCATAACTAATAACCGGTCCCCTAGTTATATAACCAAACAGCAAAGAACAAATCATGAAGTTAAACTATACAATATTAGAAACACAATTTCGTCGACACTAGCGATCAGTGTCACCGGACATGAACTAGACACGAAAAACAAGCTTCAAAGTTTACAATGGGATGTAAAGTTTAATTGTATTGATTAGTCTATGGTAAGACTATAATGCATTTTCCACTCTAATAATCATAAGAATAATATTATTAAACGTACTGTACTTCTAAATATATTTATTTTATCGACTACGTTGCTCTTACTTCTAATTATTCGTAGGATACGATATTATGGTACTACACTTTCGGCAACACTGGCAAAAATCTTAGTGCTTGGCTCCCATTGGACGGCGTGCGAGGCTTTTGATTGGGAGTTAGCGAGTTCCGCCGAGGGACCGAGTTAGCGACTTCCGTACGGGGACGGAATTCGCTAACCTGGCTCTAGAGCGGGTTAGCGGGTTCCGGAGTTAGCCAATTCCGAAAACGAAAAAGTTAGCGAGTTCCTCTCATCAACCAAATTTGAAAATAGGGCATTTAACATGGGGTTAGCGAGTTCCAGAGTGAGCCAATTCCGCGGACCCCTTTCTTCCATTAGCTTGTTGAAAACTAAAAACCAAAACCCTTTTAATGGTTAACCCTTTCAGTGCTATGAAACGATATATCGTTGTTTTAAAAAAAACCCTAAGGAATAAAGAGAGGTAGGTTATTTTAAAAAAAATAGCAAAACGGCCATTGGTGACCTGCATGTTCATAGGATACACTACCAACCACTTAGCTAAAAGATTCGCCCAATCCGATGATTTCGAGGTGTATGTCTAAACCAAGGATTATGAACACCTCACTATGCCCCAGTGGTTGTAGTATATCGCTACAAACACACAGGTCACCAATTATTTGCCACACAGGACGGGATTCGAACCCGAGCAGACGAATGCCACTGGCCAAGTGACACACGCCCTAGCCTTCTCGACTATCTGTGCTTGAAGACTGGGGAGTCAAAACCAGGTATTTAAGCTGTCGCCACCGATTGCGAACAGATAGCGCTGCAGATGGTTGTTCAATGCGTTACTAGGTAGCAGCACCAGCTAGTCACGGACTATTTAGATGCAATCTTTTAGTTTTAGTAGTAGTAAATGTGTTCCTGAGACTTTGCTGCAAAACATTAGTTTCCCTAAAATTGCTATATTACAATAACCTCGTCCAACTAAATCAGGGTTAAATTCAATATTACATTGTAAACTATATGTCTTTTGATTTTGTGAGATTTCGGTTTCAAATAATGCTATCAGAACATAAAAATGTATAGGAAAACCAGGAAAATTACAACAAAAACTAATATTAATAGTGGTTTATTTACCTTGTATTTTCGTCACAGCTCAAAAATGTTGTATAGAAGCTACAACCATGGTTTCGACGCCGTTTGCGTCATGGTCACGTAGGACATGTCGAGAATCAAAGCATAGTTGTTGTTGTCATAGTCGGTCGCTTGGACGTTGTCAAAAACACATAAACACAAACACGAACACATACGGACATATTAACACTTAAAAAATGTTCTCGGGGACGGAATACAGGCCTGTGTTTATTTAACTGTACCGTCGCGGGAGCCGGCTGGAGAACACATGTGTTTGAGTGTTCTCCAGCCGGCTCCCGCGACGGTACAGTTAAATAAACACAGGCCTGTATTCCGTCCCCGAGAACATTTTTAAAGTGTTAATATGTCCGTATGTGTTCGTGTTTGTGTTTATGTGTTTTTGACAACGTCCAAGCGACCGACTATGACAACAACAACTATGCTTTGATTCTCGACATGTCCTACGTGACCATGACGCAAACGGCGTCGAAACCATGGTTGTAGCTTCTATACAACATTTTTGAGCTGTGACGAAAATACAAGGTAAATAAACCACTATTAATATTTGTCTTACCAGCTCAGGGGCAAACCACAACAATGAGTAACAAAAACTAAGTTTTGTTTGATGTTTACTACAAATACCGGGATTTATCTTTCTTATATATTTTCTTATTGTGTTATTATTCAAAATTAGCCTAATTAATAAAATAGTGACAACATGACAGTTAAAATTCAACAACGGGTAATGGAATTAAAAGGCAAACAAAAAAGTCTTACAAAATATGAATTATTGGCCTAGCACTGAAAGGGTTAAGCGGTGGAGTAATTATGGTACTTACTGACCTTACTGTGTTTACTTTATGGGTAAAATCACAAAAATGTTAAAAACTGTTGAACCGTCATTTTATCAGTATTGAGGGCTGTAAAATTTTGCTCAAACCCCCCCCCCCCCCCCCCCGAAATCCAAAATTGTAGTAGTAAAAATTAACACTAGGTTTAAAAAGTACAAGTTAAATTATAAAATAGATACCACAACAGAGGATTATATTTTATGTTTTATTATGTTTTGCATTAACTATTCATATTTCATATAATAATTCAATTAATAAATCTGATCTATTAAAGAGGTAATAAAACTATGAAGGTTCAGTCATGACCTGATCCAGTGACGGTTCCAAGGGAGGCTACAGGGGCTAAAGAAAGTACCACTAAAGAAGCTTTTCCATTTCACTTTGTATCTGTAAAATTTGACGCTGTAACATTTCTTGATGAAATTGTAATAAAGAAATTGTCTATTGTCTATTGTCTATCAGTAAACTTTGACTCAATGTTTTTTACTCAATTCACTTTATACAGTACACAATACTTAAACTGTGGTTTTTTAGGCAATAAGTAAAAAAAGTCAAATTATAAAACTACTTTATTTATTTGGTATGGAACGTAGTTTGACAACTTTAAAATTTCAGCAGTGTGCTGTTATAAAATAAACTTAATAGTAACCAAACAGTCAAAACATTTACATATATAACAAAAAAAGTTTAGAAAAACTTATATATAATTTTCAATATTTAAATTGCAGTTTGAGTTATGTTTAATTAAATATATTAACACAATATTAAAATCAGAGGCACAACAAACTCTAACCCTAGGCTAGAAAAATATTTCTCTATGGTATATATATCTAATTAATCAACATATTGTTCATAACCATTTCCTAAAAAAGATAAGTGATACATATTAACAACAGTATTTAGAGCTAAACAGTGATGTTCATAGCTTCTTGACACTACTTTGTGGACTGCCGTGGTTCTATTCTTGGCAGATTTGGCTAGACTTGTGACTTGCGATTGGTTAGACTACAACTCCTGGTTTACTATTGGCTGTAACAAAGTGTGAATGAATAACACTACAGTTTCTTTCTACACAAATGTTGAAAAATATTCTTTGTCATACTGCAACAAAAATGGCTGATTTCAATAGATGCTTTGCAGGATTGAAGTGTCTCATTTTCTCCCAGGAAAAAGAACCGGCTGGAGTAGAGGACATCAGCCACACATTTTTATAGCTTTAAAATTTCTTTGCTAATGTAGATGAAGAATAGTTCTCATCAACAAAAAATACTATCCCGTTGTTATTCAAATTTGTTTGAGTTTATCGCATGAGTGCAGGGCTGAGTGCCACTTTGACTAGGGTCATTTTACAGCATGAGTCTTGGCGGGGGCGAGTGCCAGCCAGGTATAAGTGACCGGTTCCACAGTGTGGTGGGTATGGGGGTGAAAAGATCAACCAGGAAGGAGTTACGAAAAGTTGAATAAAGGTTTACTAATCAAATCGATATTAATTTTTAATAAATATTAGGGTAGCCCAGTTAAGAAACTGTACCCGGTCTCCGTTACATCCTGCCCACTAATACCCCCTTCCACTAATACCCCTCCCCTGAATCACTCTTACGCTCTGGGGAGAGATGTTTACGATAGTTCTGCAAAAGCAGGAGGCGAAGTCATTTCGACGAACCACTACCCAGCAGATGCCTAAACAACAACGTGCGGTTCTATTTAGGTGACCGCAAGTCATTTCGACGATCGTGCCGTGACCTAGAGTCATTTCGATGAACGCACCGTGACCAAAAGACATTTTGACGATTGCGCCGTGACCGCGAGTCAATTGGACGATCGCGCCGTGACCACTAGGTCACATATTGTGTTAGGTAGCAATATTGGTCTATACATGTCAAAACCTGTTTTATTAGATTTTTTAGACTGTATTTTATATATTAGATTGAAATTGTAAAGGGTGTCCCAGTAAGAACGCCGGATTTGAGGAGCGTCTTATCCTTATCTGTATTTCAATAGGAATTCCCAAATTATCAGCGATGTTATCAGTATTAGGTCCCATTTGTAGTCATGAATCTCTACACGACGGATCAACGCGTGGTCATAGTTAAAGTGCACTACAAGTACGGAAGCTGCGCACTATTTACGGCCGGGACAATGCACCAAATGATCCACCTGTCCGAAGATTGATTTATAATTTCGAATAAATTGGCTCAGTTCTATTTTGGGGATATTTAAAGTCGCTTGTTTTCGCCAATAATCCTCAAACAATCCAAGACTTGAAGGAGGAAATGATTCGTGCCATTAATGGAATTCAACAGGAAGTGTGTGAAAAAGTGATGGAAAACTTTGTCAAGAGATTTCGAGCTTGTCAGTATTCAGCAGGTTAGCACTTACAAGACATAATACTCAATTACTAATCGGAGATACTATGCTTTAAGATTCATGTTTCATATTGTAAATTTAGTGAAAAAATATATGGTTTGTTAACATTTCAAATCCGGCGTTCTTATTGGGACACCCTTTACATATGTAGGCCTAAGTCTATTTTTTAACATCTTCTAAAACATAAACACCACGAGCAATGCTCAGTCCTCTACATACTTGGGAATAACAAATATAATTTCTAACAAATAGCGATATTCGTTAGTTTTTTTGGCTAACTTCTATTTTATTTAGTTTTTTTTTTGAAGTGCTGGAAGTAACTTCTACTCAGTTAGATTTATAGCTAACGAATAGATAATATTCTATTGTTTGTATTGTTGTTGGGTTATTGTTTTTATGTGATCAGTGAGGGTTGCGTGTGGCCGTGAGGGTCAGCGCCCTTGTTGACAAAAAACACGGGGGGTGGGAAAGAGAAAGTCAAAGTCCAGTTGCTTTGTATGCAGTGGGCCCGTGGAAGGGCAGTGACGGCCAATAACAACACCCCAAGCACCAAGGGGTGGGAAGGGGGAATGTTTGTTTGGTGATTATACACTCAAGTTATTATAAGTGTCAAGACATCGTCCTAAATTCGTTATCTGACAGTGACAATGTTTGATTAAAACACAAGTACAGTAGAACCTCGGTTAACCGAGCCTCGCTTAACCGAGACTCCGGGTTAACCAAGGCCGTCCTCGGACGATTTTTTTTATTTAAAAAGCAAAAGAAACACGCACAAACTACGTACAGTAATGAGCGTTAGGGTGCTCCTTTTATCGCAATACGCACGCTAGCCTGCAATGCGTTAAAACTACTGTACAGTAAAATGTTGGCAACTGTTGTGTTTCCTCGGCCAAATATTTGCGTAGCTTAGCGCTTATCTTTGCCGAATGCATACGGCACTGTCACCCGACACCGCTCGCCAGAGCAGCTGCAGGTGTTGTAACCCGACACCGCTCGCCGCCGGACCAATGCGAACTGTTTCAATGCCGAGACGCGACTGAGCCACTCGCTCTCCCCACCACCCCGATTCGACTCCGTAGCTTATTGCGCATCTAGTGGGCTGTCCTGGTGTACAGCTTCAGCTCGGATGTGTTCGTGCATCATCGGTCTGCCCGAAGACGCCATTTCGTCTCAGTGGCAGTCCTTCGTTTACTTTTACAAGTCAAGTGTCTATCACTGTTTTTTTATTGTGTGTTTAAGTGCAGTTACAGTAGGTGTAAATGAGTGCTAAACGCAAACGTGTCGTTGTGTCCTTAGAGACTAAACTAAATGCGATTCGTCGTCTGGACAATGGTGAGTCAATAAGAACAGTCGCTAAAGACTTGGGTGTTGGTGAGGTTACCGTCGGAGATTGAAGGAGGAAGAGGGCTGAGTTAGAAAAATGGGGTGCTCAGAGCTTAAATTCCAATTGCAATTCAGAGAGAAAAACGTTTAAAAAGTGTGAGTATGAAAAAACTTCCGAGGCTTTATTCTTATGGTTTTCGGAAATGAGAGCAAGGGGAAGTCCAATAAGTGGGCCTATTTTGCAGGCAAAAGCGCTAGATTTCCATAAATCTTTTGGCGATGGTGATGAACCTTTTACCGCTAGTTCCGGGTGGTTAATGCGATGGAAGAACCGTTATGGAGTGCGGCAACTTAATATATCTGGGGAAAAACTTTCAGGTAATGAAACTGATGTGACAGTTTTTGAAGAAAAAATAAGAAAATTGATTTTGAGTGAGGGTCTTACATCCGATCAAATATTCAACTGTGATGAGACAGGCCTTAACTTCAGAATGTTGCCCTCAAAAACTTTAGCCAGTCAGCAGGAAACATCAGCTCCTGGGTATAAGAAATCTAAAGATCGAGTTACAGTTTTAGGATGTGCCAATGCTGCAGGAAGTTTGAAACTCAAACCAGTTGTAATAGGCAAGTATAAAAAGCCACGTGCTTTTAAAAATACTAATGTGGACACATTTCCCAGCACATACACAAACCAGAAAAACGCATGGATGGACTCGCGGATTTTCAAACAATGGTTTTTTGAGGAATTCGTTCCAGTCGTTGAAGCTTTCTTGGAGAACAAAAAACTCCCTCGCAAGGCCCTTCTTATTCTTGACAACGCTTCGTCCCATCCAGATGCTGATGAGCTAGTCAGCGATGGCATTAGAGCCTTATTTTTGCCTCCAAACGTTACTGCCCTCATCCAGCCTCTAGACCAGGGAGTTCTAGAAACTTTTAAGCGAAACTACAAAAAGAGGCTGCTTAGAAATCTACTGGAGAAGCTAGAGGACGGGCTGGGTGTCACTGATGCTCTCAAGTTAATCACAATGAAAGATGTTGTCTACTGGGTGTCAGAAGCTTGGGATAACGTTAGGGAGGACACTATAAGAAGGTCATGGCGCAAACTTTTCGGAATTGAAAAGGCAAGCCGCCAAGAGACAGCTGCTCCTGAAAACCAGCCAAGAGCATGACCTCCTGAAAATGAAGAGCTTGTGAATCTTTGTAACCACCTTCCAGTGGCTGAGCCCATCAGTGCAGAGGACATCAGTGAATGGATCAATGGAGATGAGGATCAGGCCCTAACTGATGACGTGATTATCCAGATGCTCAACCAACCAGAAGATGATGACAAGTAAGTTTTTGATTTTTTATTTATGCAAAATTTTAACATAAAAACATAATCCAACATCAATTTTTTAACACAACTATATTTGTTACACTTTAGTTAAATGTTGCCCATTCATCAATCCAAAACTAATTTCATACCAATTCCAACTGCTGCCTTTTGATTGCGTTACGGTTACGTAAAACAAAAGTTTTTTTTACAGCGATGAACCTGATGGGGTGACTGAGAAAATATCACATACAGAAGGTCTAAGAATGATCGAGGGAGCACTGGCATACATTGAACAACAAGAAACCGCAACAACAAACGATTTAGTTTGGCTGCGACGCTGGCGCAACAGGGCGGCTAGCCTAAGATCCTCTAATCTAAGTCAAAAAACAATAACTGATTTCTTTGGGAAAAAAGATTAGCTTACTTTGTTTATTTTTGTACAATGTACAGTAAATTAATTTTCATTTCTTTGATTTAATTTTGTAAACAGGAATACTGTACTGTAACTAAACTTCTGTACATTGTGTAGCCTATATCATACGTATTCAGTTGTGCAATAAATTGAGTGTTATATTAAAACAGTGTTTAGTATTGTGAGTGTTACCGTTTCCTCTCACGTTTTATTGCGTACTAATAACATTTCTTGTACTAATAAACTAAACAACAGTTCAGTTAATAACTTTTGTTCATGTTTTAGTATATCTTGAGCTATTTTTAGCCCCGGTAACGATTTTTAGGTTACGTTCCGTGTTATCCGAGGTTCGCCGTATCCGAGGTACCCTCGGTCCCAATTACCTCGGTTAACCGAGGTTCTACTGTACCAGGGGACCGAGCATTGCTCAAGGTGTTTTATTTGTTCAATAGGTAAAAAATATAACTTATAAGCCTACAAATATTTTTAGTTTTACTATGATTAATTAAGTTGTAAAGTCAATTTGTTTTTGGTAAACATCCATTCATCCTTAATTTACCTGACAAACTTTTTCATGTGGACGAACAATTTATAAAATTTCTACAATAAGCTTCAATATAAAACTGATGAAATGATACAAAACATCTTTGTCATGAGTCATTATTTCATTACATACGAAATCCTTTAAAACAACTGCCCAACAAACAGCCAGGCATACTTCTACAAAAACTAACTTTATTTTCTATCAGTTAGTTTTTCAACTAACTATAACTTCTATCAGTTACTTTTTAAACTAACTAACTAATAACTTCTATCAGTTACTTTTTACTGGACTAACTAACTTGACTAACTAGTTGACTAACTTTCCCAACTATGGTCCTCTGGTACAATTATTAATATTGGTTTGAAGTTATTACAAACAAAAAAATTTAAAGATTATCAATTTCATGCTCGCCTTACTTCCAAGTTCCAAGGCATACAACATAAAATGGAATTACTTCCAAGGCTTTATTAATAAATTGATTAATGCTTCAATCAAGTTGAAGCATTAATCAAGTTGAAAATGCTTCTGTTAAACAGAATAAAACTAGGCGTTTCTCACATAACAAGCAGAGTTGTGCAAGTTTTATAGTTTCAAAACAAAATATGATTGGGCATTTACAAACATCTGCTAGATACAAATTGTTTCATTAACAAAAAAAACTACCTAACGCAACAATGCTGGTTGAACTTACGATCAATAAGTTTGCTGAAGCGAGATTTGGGTGTTGTCTTATTGGTTTTGTCCAAAAGATCTGTCGTAGCAGTCAACTGCTGCAGCTGAAAAAGTCATTCAAATTTAGGCAATTGAAACAGAAATTCACATAATTTTGGGGTAGACTTCTGTATCTGTTGGCACAAATAACCGAATGAAAATATCGATCGATATATCGAATCGATTATTCGATATATTGTTTGATTAGCTAGGTTAGGTTAACCTAACCTAACTAACCAAACGATATATAGAATGAAACAATCGAATAATCGATATTTTTATTCAGTTGTTTGTGCCAACAGATACGGAAGTCTACCCTAATTTTGTTATTGCATACACAGTTTTATTTTAAGATTGTTCAGAATACCCACTCAAACTTAAAAATTCTAAAGAAATCGTTTACAATCATTTTTCATCATTGAAAACCTCATAGCTTATTCCAAGTTTTTCCACTATTTACAAAATTCATGGCCTTTTACGGTTTTTCTTAGGTTTTTAATGCTAACCGGGTGCCATGTAGTTTTTTTATGGTGTACTACTGGTACTTTAACTTTAGTACTGAATAATGCAGTTTTCTGCCATGTTGGAATGCAAAAATCTTAAGCGTGGAGATATGTTGTGACCAAGATATTTCAAGTAGACATTAAAACCTTGGCTACCGAGCATCGCATATATGCAACGGTCATTGCCACGGACCAAGGTATACAATTTAATCTTAGACATAGACCGGCTGTCACTTGGTTAACAGTACACACAGACCACGGGAGAAAACCTGTGAAACAGCGTTCATTTACATTGTAATAAGCTGCAATCGTGTTTTTAAATAATATATTCTTGCTTTTTTATATTTTTGATAACTTTTTCTAATATTGCATATTCCCGGCGCCCGGTCTATAGCAAAGACAATGGTTAAAATTATTATATTTTTCTTGAAATAGCTTAAACATCAGGAAAAGAATCTCTTCTCGAACATAAAATCCAGCCTCGTCCACCCCTATAAAAAACCCTGAACTAGCCTAAATGCCAAGGGGTATAAGGGAACAGAAGAAAAACCAGCAGTTCATACCTGCTCATTGATGGCTCTAAACTGCCAGTTCCAAGTGACATTGTACAGGAATGGTCGGTGATCGAACCGGTTGTCATCTGGAGTGTAGCCTTCCATATGAACACTGGGAGTTAGCACCGTCATCTTGTGCCGGTTGATGGCGTAGCACCGGAAAAAATGCTTCACCTTTTCAGCTACCTGTATATAAATTTACTGTATCCTCAGTGTGTAATGAATTTGTTATATAAATAGGTTAACATACCTTATGTCACCAATCCTAAAATTAGTATATGGCGACTAGTTTTAAAACATCAGCAGGAAACAAATTGTTTACAAAAACGAATGCGCGGTGTTATAAGTTGTGTTATATTGTAATAGATCATTAAGTTACTCTATGTGGTTCCTTTTGTACTTTATAGGCAATGACTTCCAGTTTACTCTTTGTTTTTTTTACTAATGGATTTTGGAGCGAAACCGCTAACTCACTCTCTCTCTCTGATTTTGGACTTCATAAAGAGAACATGTAATCTTGGACTTCATAAAGAGAACATGTAATCTGTGAATTAAGTATTGTGTGATGTTAATAAACGTTATGTTGAACCAGTAGAATCTGAATATTTATTATTAAAGCCACACTTGCAAATAAAAATAAAAATTATGATCCAAATTAGAATACGGGGTTTTATGGCCGGCCATGCATATGTTTTTGTAAATAATTTGTGTCCGTGTTTGTGTATGTTGAATGTAGTAGTGTATTGACGACACAAGATGTCCCAATAAATTTAAGAGTCAAGAGGCTCGACAATGAAATTGCTGATGTTTCAAAACTAGTCGCCATAGGATTGATTTGTGAACTACTTGGATTGATGAACAACTAATTTTAGGATTGAAGACGTAAGGTATGTTAACCTATTTATTGTCAATGTCAATAATCAATCCTGGAGGTAAGGATGGATGAATTTGTAATGTTAGTTCTAGTACAAATCATTTCTAAATAAAGTTAATGGACATGTTGTGTGTGACGGTGATTATTATTTTACAACTCATTATTATACTTTTTTTATTTTTTTTTGTTTTTTGGCGGCCTCTTTTAACCTTGCATTTGCCCGTCCACATAGACTAACCGCCCGTGGGTGGATCGTATACAGCGAAGCAAGGAGTGAGCCGGTACAGTACAAAGGTGAGCAGTACTAATAAAATGTTTTCGGCAGTGACCAGGATCCGAAACCGCGACATCGCTACCTTGGACCCAAAGTCTGCGACGCTACCGACTGATCCACCGACTCATACAACTATACAACTCTATATTTAGACGTTACAATTGTACAACTATATTATAAAACTCATTCATATAACAGTTGGTTAACTTCAAACCACACACGTCACTCACACACACATACAAGGGAACCATGATTACAAGCAACTCCCAAAAACTGAAAAAAATGTTCATTCTTAGTTTCAAAGGCCTATTTTAACAGTAATTTGATTTAAGTCTAGTTTCAACTTTTGTGCAGAAGACATTGTGCCTGTATCTCACAAAAATTACAGGGCTAAGACCACTTTCCTAAACAGTTTGCCAATCTTTACCTCAGAAGGTGTGCAGCGATCGCACCACGTAGAGACCAGTTTGCAGAACATGGAGTACGGCCCGCACCTGTTGAACTTCCTCAGTCTGCCAAAGTCAGACAGTTCATCATACGTCATGCCCATGTCCTGCTCGTCTGTCTGTGTGATCCTTCCATCAGCTAGCGGCTCTAGCTCAGCAGTGGGAGCGGCTGACATGATGTCTTCCAACACTGGTAAGTTGTATCTGATAAAATCAGTTAACTTTTAGGCCTCAACAGCTAATATTAGTGAGAAAGCTTAAGACAAACTACCTCACTAGATTATACACTCATATTATATTGCATTTGTATCCAGCTTGAAATATAAACTTAGGTTGTGTTGTTGGCTCAAAATAAGTGATATTGAGATAGTTTAGTAGAATCTCAATAAGAAGACTCTTCAAAGCAAGGCAAAAGCACATTGATTTTGCATTGTCTACCCCCGAACACATGTTATTGCAAACCCTTTTAAGAAGTCTACCTTTATAACATGTAACCTCAAGATTACTTGCAGCAAGTGATGACAAGTTTACCTTAATAACAAGTATACCTTGATGACAATTTTCCCTTGATAACAAGTCTACCTTGATAGGAAGCAAGGCCCCACTAGAAAAAACAGGCCATGCTGCAGCACGGGCAGCGCAACACTACGTCACAGTGGTGGATAGTTGTACTAAACTCTTACCATTAAAATCTTACAAATAGCCAGCTTGTTTATTTACCTAAAATACATGGGAATGGTAATGGCAATGAATTTATCAATGAAATCTATCCACTAGTGTGACGTCATGGATCCTGCAGCATGGCCTGTTTTCTAGTGGGGCCTTGTAGGAAGTCTGCCTTAATAAGAAATCTACTTTGATAAAAAGTCTTATTTAATAATCCCTATAAGATACTTGATATTGAGCAAATATCTCACAAACCATTGTAACCAGAATCTAAATATTGCTATTGCCATATATAAAAAAATGTAAAAATGTAAATGTAAATGTAAAAATGTAAATGTAAATTTAAAAATGTGTATGTGAAAGTTTGTGTGATTGTTTGTTTGTATGTTTGTTTGTATGTTTGTTTGTATGTTCGTTTGTTTGTTTTAAATTCAATCACGCATTAACTACTGGTCGGATTGGGTTGAAATTTGGTATGATACCAAATTGTTCATGGTATGATATTATGATGATACAAAATCAGGGTGTCCACCAGGCCAACCAGAAAAAATGCATGAGTAATTCATGAGTAAAATAAAAATCCAGGTAGTTCAGTTCGTACTTTTCGTATAAAAATTTCCAACGTGTTTTGCGCCAACTCTCGCAATGCTGTTTTAGCGCTAACACAGCTCGCTATTTTAGTTATCTGAAAGAGCATTCTCAGTTAAAGAAACAAAATTTATGTAATATTGCCTGACACAAGTATTCAATTTGTATATATTATTATTATTATTTTATGGCCAGCATTGGACCACTTAAGTCAATATAATGGTCAGGTTCTTTTTAAATTCTGTATCTTCTTCTTGTCCGCCCAATACTTCTTCATTCTTTCCGACCGTTGTTTTCTTTCTTCTTCCGAAACCACTCTTCCTTGTCTCTGATTGTTTGCTCCTATTGGCAGGATGATATTTTTGTCTTTGAGTACTGCAAGCGCCTCTGACTTATTTTCCAAATCTTCTAATAATATTTTCAACCTTGTCATGTCCTCCTTAATCTCTGTAATCCACCTAAAGTCACTCTTGCTATTCCACAACTTGTCAATTATTTTCTTGCTTATTCTATTTTCCGGTGTCCTTAAAAGATGTCCAATGAATGAAATTCTTTCCTTTTTATTATACTTGTCAATAGCTCTATTTCCTTATACAATAGAACCTCTTTAATCCAAACTAATTGGGACCAGGGGTTGTTCGGACTATTGAATAGTTCGGATTACAGAACATATTGTTGTTTTTACATAACAATAGCTAAAACATGGCTAAAATTTATCAAAATTATTTTGGGAAAAGTGAAAAAATATTTTATAAAATGAAATACATTGTTTATTCAATACAGTAGTAAACATGGTGAATAAACAGTACTGTAAATTAAATACAGTATACAATAAAGAACTGCTGTACTGTATATAGAGTACAGCAATGAGGGGTTCGGATTAGTGGACGTTCGGATTACGGGTGTTAGAACTCGCGTGAAATAAAGAACTTTTACAATTATTAAATAATAAAGAACTGATTTTATTCTGATAAATAACAATATTTAAAACATTTTCTCTGTATTGTTATGTTCTTGATCACTTTTAAAATTCTTTCCACAACTCTTCTCAATTGTTTAAACCAATTAAAATAAACCATCTGTTAATTAAAAGCAAAGACTAACAAATTATTATATTTTATGTTGATTAATATTGAATTTGTACTATATAAAAAGAACTCAATTTCCAACATCCTCCCCACCTTGGAATTTTGCTTTACCTCATCAAAATTTCAAACAAAACTATTTACATGTTTCAAGTTCACAAGTCCATTTTCCTAGGGATTTTTTATCTTCCTCCCTCTTCTTATTTCTGTAGGAGTTGATGAATTATCTTCTGTGTCAATATGTACATCCTGTTTCCTTGACATGTCTTTGAATTTATTTTCATAGATTCAAGAAATATGAATCCTCTTCCTTTTTTCAATATATACAAGCACTGCAAGATACCTTTTCTTAAATCTTGATCTCTTTGATGATATTTTCATCCTTCTCACATGTTGTTTCCACATATCTCCCCACCATAGGACACTCGGAGGATCGAACTTCAAAGTTATTTGATGGATTTCAAATTTCTGTTTCATGGTTTTCCAATCCAGCGGCTTCCTAAATTTCATTACACGGGATGGTATTAAATTTAAGAAATTTGAACCTCTTGCAAAACATTCGTCTAAAGAATTACCTCTTTTGTTCTTTGTAGACCAATCAAACACTGGCTTTATTTTTGTAGTTAAGCTACTGTCTTTTGTCACTGGGCGATGCAGCAATTGATGAACCGTTGTCGACTCTGCTGTATCTGAAACAATTTCTCTAACACAGTCACTGGTAGGTGTATGGCTCTGGGGAGTGGGATTTTTTAAACGTTATTTATCCCTATTCAGGGAAATTTTTTCTAACTTTTGATCCCATTCAGGGATTTTCTCCAGTTTTGTATCTACAGCAGTATAAACCATGTAGCCCTACTATTTTTGGGGCGAGGAATTCGATAGGACCATCGCCGTCCCCCTACGAGCCCCCCCCTTCTAATAACAAGGGGTAGATAGATATTCTTTGAATAAAATATAATTTTTTCCATTTGTATTTATTTATTATATTATCCTCCATACAAATAAACCCTTTTTGACACTTATACTGCCCCCTTGTCCTGTAAGGGGAAAACCCTCCCCCCTTTGACTAAATATATATAACTTTGGAGAATATGTAGGTAAAGCAGTACAAAAATAATGAATATCCCCTATTTTTGGGGTGAGGAATCCAATGGAACCATCGCCGACGCCCTAACCCCCCCCTTCCCACTTACAAGGGGGGGAATTCCCCCCCAGCCAAAATAATTTGTTCCTCATTAGATTGATTTGTTATGTTTTTGTAAATACAAATAACGCCCTTTTTAACACTTATATTGCCCTCCTTGACCTGTAAGGGGGCGATACCCCCCTTTTGCTAAACGTATATAGCTTTGGAGATTTTGTCAGTAAAGCAGTACAAAACCATGAATATCCCCTATTTTGGTGGTGAGAAACTCAATGGCGCAAACCCCATCCCTCTAACTTTGTTAGTTTTCGAGTTAGGGTGGGGGTATATGGATCTGGGGAGTGGGTACAAAATAGGTGTAGTTGGGGGTATGAGGGGTTATGATATATGTTTTTACCCTATTTTGGGGGTGAGAAAGTCAATGGCGCAAACCCCGTCCCTCTGTCTGTCTTAGTTTTCGATCTAGGGTGAGGGTATATGGATCTGGGGAGTGGGTACAAAATAGGTGTTGTTGGGGGTATGAGGGGTTGTGATATATGTTTTAACCCTATTTTGGGGGTGAGAAAGTCAATGGCGCAAACCCCGTCCTTCCAACATTTATAGTTTTCGATCTAGGGTGGGGGTATATGGATCTGGGGAGTGGGTACAAAATACATGTTGTTAAAGTTTTGAGGGGTTTTGATGTATGTATTTACCCTATTTTGGGGGTGAGAAATTCAATGGCACAAACCCCATCCCCCTAACTTTGTTAGTTTTCGAGTTAGGGTGGGGGTATATGGATCTGGGGATTGGGTACAAAATATACTGCAATGGCGTAGGAGGCACTACTGTACAAAGAGCGAAGTCTCTAATAGTCTACAATTTACCATTGACAGCCAAATTTTGAATGCTAAGGACGTTTAAAACTTTTGTTAAAAAAACCTTAAAGGTATTCAATACTTTTTTGTAGACAGTGAAGAAGTAGCAAAAAGTTGAATTAGAACTTCAATTTTGATTCAAAGGACGACTATCGATTCCCTGAACACAGATCATTTTACATTTTACAATCATTTTACAGATTTGTACCTGTGGCAGACAACAAAGTAGAGTGTTTTAAAACATCAAAATGCTTAAAATCTATTATTAAAATATAACATTATTTAAAAAATACATTGATTGTGTATTATAATGTAATATTATGATTTCTACGCTATTACACGTATAATGCTTATTTTAGTACTTTTCAATGTTTCATAACTTTAAAACCATTTTAGGACGCCATTTTCATTATGTAGGCCTACACGCCACATTACAAATGAATTGTAGTTTTAAAATCTTTAATTTTGCAAAAGACTAAACTTGAAGGAAATCCACTTTTAGTATTGACACTTAAATTTTATTTATTATATAATTTTGAATTTGACAACTTGTATAATATAACATTGCTCCCAGAGGGTAAGGCGTGTACATTTTTATGTGTCCTTGAATAATTGTTAAGGTGTCCATTTGCCGTCAGGCGTCGGAGACCATCTATTGGTAGGTGTCCATTTGCTGTCGGGCGTCGGAGACCATCTATTGGTAGGTGTCCATTTGCCGTCGGGCGTCGGAGACCATCTATTGGTAGGTGTCCATTTGCTGTCGGGCGTCGGAGACCATCTATTGGCAGGTGTCCATTTGCTGTCGGGCGTCGGAGACCATCTATTGGTAGGTGTCCATTTGCTGTCGGGCGTCGGAGACCATCT